AGGGGCCCCGCAGCCCTGGCCCGCAGGGTGACTTTATCTATCACCCGTGCAAAGATACTGTCTTGCAGTTCTCCCTCCCTGTCCCAGAAACACTCATAACAGTAACAAAGAATATCAATAATTAACATTTATTGAGCACTTACTATGTACTTGGCATGGGTTAAGGCTTTTGCGCGCATTAATCTCCCAACAACCGGGCCAGTCTGTGGCTCACTCGGGAGAGTGCGTCCCTCTTTAGAAAGTGACCTTGAAGGGCCAGCCCGTGGCTCACTTGTGAGAGTGTGGTGTTGATAACACCAAGGCCACGGGTTCGGATCCCATATAGGGACGGCTGGTTTGCTCACTGGCTGAGCGTGGTGCTGACAACACCAAGCCAAGGGTTAAGATCCCCTTACCGGTCATCTTTAAAAAAAAAAAAAAAAAAAAAATGTCTGTCTCTCTGCTCTACCATTTCACAATGTGATACCCTGCAGTCACTGTCATCACTGCCAAGGCTCTCACCAGATGTGCTTCCTGGACTTTGGACTTCTTAGCCTCCAAAACTGTAAGCAATAAATTTTGTTTTCTTTACAAATTTTCTAGTTCTGTGTATTTTGTTATAAGCAAAAGAAGCAGACTAATAACAGGCTCCAGGTGTGCTAATTCAGGGTCCTGGCGTGACTAGGTGGAGAGGAATCAGGAAAGGTGGCCTTCCCTGAGAACAGGGCAGCTGAATGGATTTCTGGAGGCAGGCCCTGTGCTGTGTCTCACAGGCCTGATTCTTGGGGTGGTAGGTTGCTCCATTTTTGGCCACTCTGACTATGCCTGGGCTTACTGGGGCTCCCTGACTATCTCTCACTTCCCCTGAGCCAGAAAGAATCTGAGGCTCAGAATAAGTAGATGCTGGCTAGATGCTAGTGGACTAAATGACTCCTCTACCCCCTACCCCCTACCCCAGAGCCTTCCTAAAGACAGGAAATTCCACATTGAACATTCAAGCCTCTGGGTTGTCTCCGTCCCTTTTTCTCCCCACCACCCACAGGAAAGCTTGGCCCAGTTAGGTCAGCTATAAGGAGGGAGGGTGCCTAACTAAAACTTTGGAATTATTTTCTAGATAAAAGACTAAGGCTTGGAGAGGCCAAGGTCCCTCAGCTGGGAATGGGACAGGGTGTGGCTCATTCCAGAGCCAGAGCCTGCAGCGTCCACTAGACTGGAGCCCTCTTCTAACTCGTCGAAAACAGCTACACTCAGCTCACTCTGCTCAAAATCGTCCAGTGGTTTCCATTTCACTCAGTGAAAGCCAAGTCATTATGAGAGCCCTAAGGCCACCTGCCCCTTCTCTGCCCCCCTCCCCTGCTCCATCCCCCTCACTCCCTTCGCTCTGGCCTCCTTGGTCCCCTTCCAGTTTGTCCAGCAGGCTCCTGCCCAGGGTCTTAGCACTCGCTCTTCCCTCTACCTGGATTGCTCTTCTCCACCCGACTGGCTCCCTCACTTCTGTCAGGTCTCTGCTAAAATGTCACCTGACCCTCTGATATGTAATAACAGTTCGCCTCCCCATCTCCTGGCACTCCCTAACCTCTTACCCCATTTTATTTTTCCATAGTATTTATCACCATCTGAATTATCATAACTTTCTTGTTGGTTGTCCGTCCCCCTTTACTAGATGTCATGTTTTCTTCACTACTGTATCCCCAACACCTAGAATAGTGCCTGTCACATAGTAGATGCTCAGAAGACCTTAGTTGAATGAATAAATGAACTCCTCTCAGTCTCAAGAAGAAAGGATTCCACAGCTGGAGCCCCAGAGCGCATGGAGAGAGTTGCCAGTATTGAGCTGCACTGTGGAGTCCGGAGTCCAAGAATCTATCCCTAGAAGGAAGCTGAGAAATCACATCTCTGCCTACCTGACCATTTAAAAGACAGGGAAAACAGGTCCAGAGGGAAAGGTGACTTACCCAGAAGGAGCTAAAAGGTCTTGCCCTTTCAAATCTCTAAAAGAAGCAGCAATCATAAAGGAAAAGATCTGTAGATCTAATTTCATCAGAATATAAAACCATAATTAAAAGGCAAACAACAAACAAAATATAACAAAATCGTCCTTTTAAAATGTGACAAAGGGTTAATATTTTAACTGTGTTTGATAACAACCTTAAGATCCTTCCCCCATAAAACAACCAGATAAAACCCAAGCTCTGAGAGAACTGTGTGTGTGAGACACCCTAATGAGCTCTCCCCCAGCTCCTGAACAATGAAGGAAAGGCTGCAACTCTGCTTTTGTTTTTTGGGGCCAGCACATTAGCAAAGATTCCGTTTTCAGTGAGAATGCCCAAAGCCGGTGCAGCTATGGTGACAGAAACACTGCTGAAGACTGTACATGTACCCTTCAGGGAAACAACTTGGTAACCTTGCACTGAGATCCTCACATTCTCTAATTCCACATTTGGGTCTCTTACCAAAGAAAAAAGTCTTATGTGCCAAGATATTCTCCATAATCTTATTGACAATAGTAAAAAATAAATTTAAAAAATTATAGACAACCTACTTGTTCAACAGAGAGGAAATGCTTGAGTAAATTGTAATATAGCCACTTAATGAATATGCATTATTAATGTGATGTATTCGAAGAGATTGTAATCATATAGAAAACTGCTTATGTAATAATAATTTGTATATGAAAAGACCAAAGAGAGAACTTGTTGTCCTTGTGGTATGGTCATGTAGAAGAAAGTTGCACCCAGTAAAGGCTAGATGTCATGGCACCAAAATATTAACAGTGGTTCTCTCTGGGTGGTGGGGTGAGGTGAGATTTTCTTTTCTTCTTTTTTTAAATGTGTGTTCAACTCTTCTGATACAACATGTATTTTTTTTATAAAGATGACCGGTAAGGGGATCTTAACCCTTGACTTGGTGTTGTCAGCACCACGCTCACCCAGTGAGCGAACCGGCCATCCCTATGTGGGATCCGAACCTGGGGCCTTGGTGTTATCAGCACCGCACTCTCCCGAGTGAGCCACGGGCCGGCCCAACATGTATTTTCATTATAGAAAATATAAAAAAAATTTTAAAAATCTGATGATGTTCCTCTCCTTCAAACCTGTTCTGAAAAAAAAAAGAAAAAAAAAAAGGGGCCGGCCTGTGGCTCACTCGGGAGAGTGTGGTGCTGATAACACCAAGGCCACGGGTTCAGATCCCATATAGGGATGGCCGGTTGGCTCACTTGGGAGAGCGTGGTGCTGACAACACCCAGTCAAGGGTTAAGATCCCCTTACCAGTCATCTTAAAAAAACAAAAACAAAAAACCTGTTCTGGCTCAGTTGCCAAAGATGAGCTTCTCACCCTTGGTGTATTGGAGACATGGCTAGGAACTGATTTTACTGAACCAGGCAGCACTGTGCCCACATCGTCTTATTGAATCCTTACCACCACCTTATCAGGTGGGTCCTATTATTATTTTTACAGATGATGTAACTGTGGCTTAGAGGGATGAAGGGAAATGGTCCTTCCCACTCTGTGTACAGGTTTTTATTTTTTTTCCCCTACACCTGTTCTGGTGCTCTCTGTATCCCAAACCTTAGTACATGTGAGTCCCTTTGCCAGGAATACCCTTCCCACCCGCTTGGCTTAATCAACTCCTATTCATCCTTTGAGACCCACCTCTGTGTCATACTTCTAGGCAGATTTAGTCATTGCTTCTTATGTACTTCCACAATACTGTGTTCATACATTTAACCCTAGTTTTACACTTAACCTGATTATAAGTATGAGTTCCCAGGTTTGTCTCCTCTCACTCCTTACCCATATCCTGCCTCCCACACTCGAGGGCAGAGACAATGTTCCTTTCATCTCTATAAGAAGAAATGTTAAGGGCCAGCCCGTGGCTCACTCGGGAGAGTGAGGTGCTGATAACACCAAGGCCCCGGGTTCGGATCCCATATAGGGATGGCCGGTTAGCTCACTGGCTGAGCGTGGTGCTGACAACACCAAGTCAAGGGTTAAGATCCCCTTACCGGTCATCTTTTAAGAAAAAAAAAAAAGAAGAAGAAGAAATGTTAAATAGGTTTGATGGCATGCACCAGCTCCAGTCAATTGCTTGCAACTGCCTGGATTCCTGCATTGAGATGGGGTGTTTCTCCGGCTTGGTGGGAAGGAGTCCTGTGACCCATTAGTGATGTCTGCATGAGCTCAGAAATGGTAAGTATTGGCTAACAACTGTGTTGTCCACCCCTGGAATATGTGATCAGTAAATTTTGAGAGGTTTTAGGGAAGCCTTACAGCTTTGCCTGGAGGTTGTAAGGGTTCCTTTGTCCCCAGCTGGGTGATGCCTGTGGGAGACTGTATGACCACCGTGAGAGATGATTGCAACATGGATTCCTCATCCAAATGGCAGTCTCGCTGTAGCCTCCATCCAAAGACTCTGCTTCATTCCCACAAGTGGCCAAGACAGCTTCTGAGGAGCTGTTGATGTTCTTGGATATTAAGAGGAATGGAGGAGAGAGAGCATGAAGGGAAAGTCATTTCCTGTTTCGAGCTATTACTTCTCACATATCAACCCAAAAGTCAAAGCAGCGTCCATGTCCCAACTAAGGGTGTTCATCGCACTGAGTAGAAGCTGTCACTGTGAGACTCTGGCCAATTCCCTTTCTGACCTCAATTTTCTCATCTATGAAATAATTTCTGGGCCTCTGTTTCCTTTTCTATGAAAAATGAAGTAATAATATTCTACCCATGTGGTGGATTTTAGGATCAAATGAGAATATGTGTGTTGCTGTGAGATTTATGTAGCTGTGTCCAGGTGCCAGAGATGGTGGTTGCTGTTAAACTGGGCTTGAAGTAGGGGGGGATTTCACCAGAAAGAAGTGAGGCTGTCCCAAGTGAGGTAAACAGCTGGGCCTTAGAGAGGAATACTGCCCCGAATCCAGAGATGTGCAGGGCTGCAGGTGCAGCTCCCCAAGCATTTACCCCACAGGAGAGATTCCCCAAACCACTTCTCGTCTTGGGGGCTCCTGCCCTTGGTCTCATTTTAAACACTCTTCTCTTGATAGAGCCTTCTTATCTATCCATCCCTCCATACATATATTTAGCACCTGCTGCCTGCCAGGCCCACTGCTTGGTGCTGAGGTTACAGACAAGACCTTACACGATCCCTTTCCTCAAGGAGTTCCAGACTGGCCAGTTAGTTCAGTTGGTTAGAGCACAGCCT